ACCATAAATGGGGTTCGCACATTGTACACATGTGGGGAATCGAACCCCGGGCCTTCAGAGTGATGAGCCAGTAGGCTACCCCACCACCCCCAAAAGAATAGTGACCAGTTTAGGGGTTTCTACTTAAATACTACACAGGGTAGATTCACACTGCTACGTCACAACGTGAAAGAACCATCAAGGCCACCTCTACAACTACGGCAATACCAATACCAGGATGCGACAGTGTGGACCATTTACGCATTAAAGGTATTCGCAGTAGACGACCAATTTGAGGTGTCATTTTGACGGACATGCACCGTCGGCTGCGATAGAGACAAGCTTGGTTTTGTGATGAGTTACATCTAGATTACACGGCGCGGATGGTAGACATCGTGTTTTACAAGCGTCGCGGGAAATGCTATGTACGAAACTGCATAAAGGAAGTGGACAGATTTGGTGGTAATAGTGCACTGGGCATCATTTTTGTAACTCAAGTTTGGAAATGTCCTTTACGTGTCTACAATAAAATGTTTTCAAGGCTCCACTGAGGCACTCTGAATCTTTATCCATAGATCTAAATATAAAACAGATGTGGCGGTCTCATGGGTCTCGTTTGTTTCTAGTTCAGGTTGGTAAATCAGTGGCAGAATTGGCTATTTGATGGTTATTGAAGGATATCAGATTATTGATGTAATGAAGCTTAAGTTATTCTTCTGGCCAAATTACCTTGTTTTGTCTTTGACAGTCCGAGCGGAAATTCCGATTCATATGCATAAGTTCAAAAAGGTTTTTCATGCAAGCTTGGGCAAGTGAAATTTGACCCAGAGCAATGTCTTACACGAAAGGTTGCTTTGGAACAGTAAGACACATTCTACGTTTAATCCTCTCATTTCTGTTTGACAACAGAATGATATTTGTCTTCTTTGGAGGTGAAATGGTGTATAACGTCGTTCAAGATTAGTGCACTTATATTGCAACGTGTGTGCATGTGTGCGTGCGTGTGTGCGGGCTTGTACTAGTCCGGACTAATACCGTTTTTCTAGAGCCCGAGCCGATCAGTACCTTGTTTTATCCGTTTAATGCCGAGCCCAAGTTAAAAAATAATATCTGGGTTTGCAGCTGAAGCTGAAAAGATGTCTATTATCGATGCAAAATCTCCAAAAGTGTCTATTCCAAGGACGGGGCGTTCGGGTAGTCTAGTGGTTAAAGCGTTCGCTCGTCACACTGAAGACCCGAGTTCGAAGCCCATTTCTGGTGTCCCCCGCCGTAATATTGCTGGAATATTGCTAAAAGCGGCGTAAAAGCGTACTCACTCACTCACTATTTCAAAGACGTTCTGTGATTTCTCCAGCTTCACATGGACTTCCAATATCTATTTTTAGAAATGTCCACCACTTCTAGACTAGCAGCCTAGTGGCTGGACTACCACACCTGGCTACACCATCTTTTAACAATAACAATCTCTCACTGTCCAGTAATTGTCTTGTTTCTATGTGAGGCGTGTACATGATTGACAGAGTTGTCCTTAGCATGATAGCAGTGAAGCACTCATAAAATATACATATGACATGCGGAAGTGTCAAAACGAAACTAAGATTACAGGTATCCAACAGGTGAAGAGGTTTCTCTCGCTCGCCGTGTTCAAATCATCTGTACCAGACCAGGTAAGGGGTTTGTTTGTTTCTTGTTCAATCCCGCACTCAGCAACATTCCAGCTATATAACGGCGGTCTGTAAATATTCGAGTCTGGACAAGACAATCCAGCTAGTGACATCATGAATATCGATCCACGCAATTGGGATACAATAACATGCATCAACCAAGTCAGCGAGGTTGACCACCCGATCCCGTTAGTCGCCTGGTAAGGTGTACACTGTTTACACAGCTGTAGTGAACGGTGATTTGTCTGGTGTACAGAGAGTGGTGCTATCGACCTGACTGAGTGTATGTATCTGATATGTCAAGGGGTTGACACTGTTATTCCTGTTATATTCTATTATGGATATAACTGTCGGTAGTGCAGGCTATCACACACATTGTAGCACATCTGTCGGCTATTACGTCAATAATGAAGTCACTATTTGAAACTAAAATCATGTTGATAGCCGTAATTAACGATGTGTACAAACTCCTCGGCGATAACATCAGTCTGTACTAGTCTTTACAGAGTTGTGTCCCTTTGATTATCTTGGTCAAGTTGTGCAGCTGCTTTCCGTTCAGTGTTATTGATATAAACTCCGATATAACATTGATGTTATTGAGTCAAGCTCTCGAACTCTGATGTGTCGAATCCATGGTGGTGTCAAAAATACAGTCCAGTCGTGGCAAGCTCGACCGGACTTACCACCATTTTGATCGTGACATGTCGTACTAGTTGTGTTGCCTCGAAATAATTTGTGGGACCCAGAGTTAAAAATAAGTGAAACTTACCGTGATGAGTCGAACTGACAAATGTTTAAAAGTGCAACCTAAGTCGAGGTTGAATTTTCATGTGAATTCATAAATGTGGATGTGAAAAACGATTATGTTTGTATTCCTCAGTACAGACATGATATGTACCTTCATGTAACATGCACGGTATGGTACGTGTCTGCTTTGGGTTGTGTGGCCCAGTCGGATGTGTCGAATCCTGGACAATACAAGCTATTTATCTGGTCCCCAGAATGGGAGACAACAGGTTAGACTGTAGTTACAGGTTGGTAGATCATTCAAAATGCCACAACCGCCAGTCACAAAACATATGCAAACAAACTAGGGTTGTCTGTTTGCTTGTTGTTTAACGCCGCTCTCAGCATTATTCCAAATATGTTAAGACGGTCTGTAAATGATCGAGTCTGGACCAGACAATCCAGTGATTAATATCATGAGTATCAATTCACGCAATTGTGATACGATGACATGCAGCAACCAAGTCAGCGAACCTGACCACCCGATCCCATTAGTCGCCTATTACGACAAGCATGGGCTGCTGAAGACCTATCCTACCCCCGATCTTCACGGGTAAGGGTTGGCTGTAAGGTTTGTTGTCATGTGGTTGTCCCTGATGTGATTGTGAAGCATGACTTTTATGGGCTACCGGATACTTGCAGATTTCGCTCAATATAAAGGGGTCAGTTCACTTCATTTCTAACATTGACCTTCGTATTTGTATGGACCTTTGTCGATGGTAATAAAAACAGGACATCTCACCTCAAACGTTCAATTTGCCTTTCGACAGAGTCGTGAAGATGTGAGTGATATATATATGCATTTTGTTTTGTTTTTGATTGATTACTCGGCTATATTGCAGCTATAGTTAGTTGCCTCTCAAGACGAGCTGATGGCAATCTATATTTTTACCCGGAATCCCCAGTGGTCTAACAGTAAAGTTGTATCTTTAGTCTTTGGAGACAGGGTTGAGTTATATGTGTTTTACCATTTATTGAAAGCTTGACATGTGGATTTTAGAGATTTGATAAACAATTCCTATATATGCCCCTTCCGATAGTGCCATCTACTTTGAATAACATCCATTTATATCTGGCTTTACCTTCAAGAGAAATTAATTTCATACTGTTCAACCGAATGACATTTCATTGTGAGATACCTATTACAGGTCAATCCTCAGTATGTGTAAACAGACATCTCTCTTAGGCTAATGCTACGAAAACAATGTGAGCTATTTGTAAGCAAACAATTTTGTCCCAGCAATGCCCCTATGTTATTTGGGGTGGTGGTGTAGCCTAGTGGTTAAAGCGTTCGTTAGTCCCGCCGAACATCAGGTTCGATTACTCAGATGGGTACAATGTGTGAAGCTTATTTCTGGTGTCCCCTGATGTGATATTGCTGAAATAATGTTAAAAGCAGCGTAACACCATACTCACTCACGTTATTGAAAACAATGAATTGTTAAGTGATTCATGTTAAACTGCGGCATGGTATCTCAGTGAGCTACCACTCTAAATCGGCATTAGTCCGGACTAGTACAAGCAGCCACACAAACACACACACGTACATGCACGTCGCTATATAAGTGCAATAATCTTGGACGTGACGTTAAACCAAACTTCACCTCACCTCACCTATAATATGTATGTATTTATGTCTTGTCTGTTCAAAGCTACAAGATGTCAGGTGCGAGCCCCAAATCTGGATTAGTCGACAACTGGCAGGGTGGGAAGACTGTCACAGAGTGTAATCTGCACATGCTCAACACGGAAGACTTCTGTGACGTCACCTTCCGTGTGGGATCAGAGAAACAGGTGGTCCGAGCTCACCGCTACGTTCTTGTCAGTCGCAGCTGTGTCTTCCATGCCATGTTCTGTGGCCCCCTGGCAGAGACAGGGGAGGTAACCATCCCCGACATTGAGGCAGACATCTTCAAAGAGTTCTTAAGGTGAGATTAATCTAGCGGTTTTACAAATCATCCATTACCAAGAGAAAATTGCACCTTCCGTAATGAATGCTGATTTTATACCTTCTTCTAAATAACTATTTACATCAGTAATTGCTCTTTTGATACCCGAGCCACATTAAATATGTTGCTATTTTCCCTCCAGTCTTTCCATTTTTGGTCCTTTTTTTACAATACTTGTATGTAGTTAACCAACTTAAATAGTAATAAATACTACAAAGTAAGTTTAATTAGACTATTAGGTTAATGTCTTCCTAGGAGTCAGCTTAAGCAATTTATTTTATAGTGATGGTAAATCATGTCATTTGAGGTCTACCCCACTATGCGTGGGTGCCACCTACAACAAAATATAGCATGGAAAGGTATTTTGTTTTTACTCGATACAAGTACACTATACACTCTCTCCATGTTACATCTCACAGCGTTGTAGTGGGTTTCACTTATTGTGTCCAACGTCTTTAAGGTAAGATTTATCTAGCGGTAGATAAATTAATACACAAATTAAGATAACACCTTATGCATTCTTTATCTGCTTTTATATCATTGTTTTGTAAATGCTCAGAAGATCATAAACTCATTTTTTAATTTTTCATGTCCTTTTTCTTACATGTTACTGTACCTTTAGGTATGTGTACACAGACCAGGCCACTATCGACGCTGAAACAGTCACAGGACTAAAGTACACCTCCAGGAAATATTCTCTAGATGCATTGTATAAACTGTGTGAAACGTTCCTAGAACAGTCCCTGTCAGAAGACAATGTCTGTCAGATTCTGGAGGAGTGTCATTGTTACGGGGAGCTGGACGTGGAACAGAAGGTCCTGGAGATTCTTACTCAAGGAGGGAAGGAAGTCATCCAATCTCCCGGCTTTGTGAAACTTTGCTCTGATTGTATGAATAAGTTTGTTAGGTCAGATGGTTTATATTTGAAAGAGGAAGACGTATTTGACGCAGTGCTGTCCTGGACAAAGGAAAGATGCCGGGAGGAAGGTTGGATTGACACGCCTGAGAACATACGGAGACTCCTGGGAGATATGAGGTATGAGATCCGGTTTACAAGCATCCCCCTGGAGTATCTGGTGAAGGTTGTCGGGAGATCTGGCGTGCTGACAGGGGATGAGAGAATACGAATAATGGACAGAACCGTAGACACAACTGTTGACATATCTCCATATAAACATTCACAGAGAAATACTATCGGCTTGAAACGGAAGGCATCCTGTAAAAGAGTGGAGTGGTTTAACGCAATCGGATTTAGTTGCAACACAGGTAAAATCTCTACTGAGATAAGTACAGTCTCCTTCTCAGCTAGTCGTAGCATTCTCCTCCTGGGGTGTCCTCTGTATGGTGCATTTACTGTAGATGCAGAGTATACACTGACAATCAGAGTGTATGACGCCAATAACGGGATGATTGATGAACCGTTCGTGAAGACAAGGATGACGCTTCAAGGCAGTAAAGTGTTGAATGACGTCCTGTTTCCCAGGTTTATTTCCCTCACAGCAGGTGCGACCTACACTGTGTACGTTGACATGAAGGGTGTAAGCCGAACTGCCACTGGTAGGGAAAGAAATTCTACAGTAACAGAGGACGGAGTACATTTCACGTTTACAGACTCTCCAATGTCTACTACAGACACATCAACACAGAGAGGACAGATACCTGGCTTGTTGTACAGTCTCCCGCTGCCATAGGCAGTACTGGTGTATCAGGTGTGTTTCGCTGACTGCTATGGCGATGATATATGATAATTTGATACCAAGCAAACCAGATCATCTTCCATATGATCATATTAACAGGTTGAATCCCATTAAATTCCATCTGACTATCAGTGACATCTGGCTTGAACTCACTGGTGATGTCGACTACGTTACATCTGTGTAGTACAGGGAGTAAATCAACACTTAAACAATTCCCACCTATACAACATGGTTGTTTGCACCTTTCAGAATACATGAGAGGACAAGGAGGTGATTGCTGATATTTGCTTCGAAATAAATGTTCTTAAGATTTGTAGATATAACTCGTAGGTCTATTTGCCTTTGAGGCATCTTACATACTGACGTCAACAGCATAATGTATTGTGCGTGGTTGGATTGACGTAGTGACGTAATGAAGGGTGAAGGTCGTTTTGGTTACTCACCGTTTGTAAGGCACGTGAAAACACAAATGCACGTGTGCTTTGTTTTGTGTTTCGTTAATCATACTTCCCCTTGATATTGATCAGGACATTGCGGCTGAACTATGCTGTATCTAAGATGTGGTTTTGTATTCAGTGGACCCGTGAAGATCCAGGGTAGAATAGGTCTTCAGCAACACATGCTTGTCGTAAGAGGCGACTAACGGTTTCGGAAGGTCATGTCAATGTAACACAATTACGGAGTCATGCTCATTATATCAATCACTGGATTGTCTGGTCCAGATTATTTACAGACCGCTGTCATATAGCTGTAATACCGCTAAGTACGGCGTTAACCAAAAAAAAGTGATAGATTATTTCTATTCTCTTCAACAACAAACACTCGGACTAGTTTGTTGAAAGTCGTAGTGTTAAATCTATTGCAAGTGTGCTCAGTTTAACAACTACAGTCAATCCGATAAGCCATGTATATATTCCTTATGTTAGACATGAGTTGCAAAAGAGTTATTTATACCCAATGATCAATCATCCTTTTAATCAGCCCTCTGTTGCTATTCAAGACGAATGTGTACTTGTTTATTATAATCTCGTTAATATTGCCTATACAGTAAACTAAGGTTATAGCGAACTCAAAGAGACCACAAATTCAAGTTCGTTATAACCGTAATTCGTTATAAGCATATATATAGCATATATACAGAAAATGTCAGGGACCTATAACCCAGTTTTTTATATTTCCCCCAGTTCGTTATAAGCGTGTTCGTTATAACCGTAGTTTACTGTGTATGCATGTATGTGGTCTCTGTATCATTACCATGTCACTTTCTTCATATCGGTGTCAAAGTCTGCTACGAGACATTGCTACGATTGTAATACAGAAGTTGGTCATCACTTTTACAGAATTTATATGAGTTTGTTCTTATGTCTTTATTGTTTTGTTTCTCAGATATTGGCTCAGTTCAATAAAGCGCATTTTGCAACCAAAATATGTTCATCTGATGCCTTAATGTGTTGCCCAGCTACACGATCTGCTGCATCTTGTGCAAAGTCCGTCTATTATCTAGCCATCATTGCCTAGCTACGCGATCTGGTAACCTATTTAAAGTACATGGATAGTAGGATTTGCTGCCCCAGCTTGAAGGTCTGGTACATATAACGGTAAATGTAAAGTGCATGGATAATCTAGTCTGTGTTGCCTACCTGCACGATCTGGTGCATGTTATGAAAAGTGCATAGATCATCTAGTCTGTGTTCCCTACCTGCACGATCTGGTGCATGTTATGAAAAGTGCATAGATCATCTAGTCTGTGTTGCCTAGCTACACGGTCTGGTCCATGTTATGTAAAGTGCACGGATCATCTAGTCTATGTTGCCTACCTACACGATCTGGTGCATGTTATGAAAAGTGCATAGATCATCTAGTCTGTGTTGCCTAGCTACAAGGTCTGGTCCATGTTATGTAAAGTGCAAGGATCATCTAGTCTATGTTGCCTACCTACACGATCTGGTGCATGTTATGAAAAGTGCATAGATCATCTAGTCTGTGTTGCCTAGCTACACGGTCTGGTCCATGTTATGTAAAGTGCATGGATCATCTAGTCTGTGTTGCCTAGCTACTCGATCCGGTGCATGTTATGAAAAGTGCATGGATCATCTAGTCTGTTTTGCCTTGCTACACAGATATTTACCAGATATTTAAAGTACACGGATCGTAGGATTTGCTGTCTAGCTAGAAGGTCTGGTACATATAACGGTAATTGGAAAGTGCATGTAGGATCTAGTCTGTGTTGCCTAGCTACACGATCTGGTTCATGTAATGAAAAGTGCATACATCATCTATTCTGTTTTGCCTAGCTACTCGATCCGGTGCATGTTATGTAAAGTGCATTGATCATCTAGTCTCTTTTGCCTAGCTACAGGATCTTGTGCATGTTATGTAAAGTACATTGATCATCTAGTCTGTGTTGCACAGCTACACAATCTGGTTCATGTTATGTAATGCGCATGGATCATCTAGCCTGTGTTGCCTAGCCACACGATCCGGTGCGTGTTATGTAAAGTGCAAGGATCATCTTGTCTGTGTTGCCTATCTACACGATCTGGTTCATGTTATGTAAAGTACATGGAGAACTAGTCTGTGTTGCCTAGGTACACGATCTGGTGCATTTTATGTAAAGTACATGGAGAACTAGTCTGTGTTGCTTAGCTACATGGTCTTGTGCATGTTATGTAAAGTACATGGAGAACAAGTCTGTGTTGCTTAGCTACACGATCTGGTGCAAGGTTTGTAATTTACATGATTCATCAAGCAGCTGTAGACTAGGGATTGAATGGTAACAATAAATGTAATGTGTAAATGGCGTCGACACTATAAGCCTACAGTGACCCATGCTGTCACCAGGACAGATTCAATATGGATCGGGTGGTCATTTTAACATCCATTATATTTAAATGGTGCTTGACTTTCTGGCAACTGGGAAGTGTCTGTAGTAACCTTGGTAACAGTGGGTGAGTGAGTCGGTGGTTGTAGCCTTATCTTGGCAATGAACTCATAAGGGGCTAATATTAATGTGAAGGACAGTGTGTTGCGTAGAGGAAGCATTGACATTAAGTGGGAGGATGAATTTTGAAAATTGACTTCTCCTATCCCGTCATCCATCATCTTTAACTTCGAATTGGGTTTATAGTCTAAAACCTTTTAACAACCCGATACCTGTTTATAATATATTACAAGTGTATACCGCTGTTTGCATACACAGAGCGCCATCCTCCATATTGCACTACTAAAGCCTAAACATAAAACAAAACAAAAACAGAACAGAAAATATAAAAGGCCGAGAGTACAAAGTGTACAAAGAAAGGATGTGACACATTGGACCCATGGGGATCGAACCCAGAAATTTGGCAAGGACAACGAATACTGTAACTCAAAGGCTTCGTGACCCTACAGCCGTATCGGGAGATAGAGCATGACAAGAGTTGTCCCTCGTTATCATCACATGATACTCGCATTAGCGGATAGTGAATGCGGAAGTTGTTTAACTAGAATTACAGGTGATATCGAACACACCCAATTTCGCGCTCGCCGTTTTCCAAGCTCTCGTTCTCAGGTAAAATCTTACTGTTCAAAGATAACTACTATGTGTTTCATGTACCGTGGGTAACAGGGACCTGGCTGCAGCTTTTGGTGTCTACATTGCATAACGGTGAGGTGAGGTGAAATGGGGTTTAACGTCGCATCCAAGATTATTGCACTTATATAGCGACGTGCATATACGTGTGTGTGTTTGTGTGGTTGCTTGTACTAGTCCGGACTGATGCCGATTTATAGTCCTTAGTCAGAGAATTCAGCATTGTCTTGATCTACATTTTGACAGACGATACGTCACTAGGTTGGTTGGTTGGTTGTTTAACGCCGCACTCAGCAATAGTCCAGCTATATGACGGCGGTCTGTAAATAATCGAGTCTTGACCAGACAATCCAGTGATTTATATCATTAGCATCGATCCACGCAATTGGGATCGATGACATGCAGCAACCAAGTCAGCGAACCTGACCACCCGATCTCGTTGGCCGCCTCTTACGACAAGCGTAGTCACCTTTTACGGCAAGCATGGGTTGCTGAAGACCTATTCTACCCCGGAATCTTCACGGGTCCGTCACTAGGTAATAATGCTGTATCATTACAAAATTATAACCTGTACACCTGTGTACTACGGTCTATGGATAATATAAGTCATCGAGCTCGATGGGTTTACGATGGGATACGTCCATCTTACGTCACTGTAGCCTGATATGTAGGTATCAGTGTTCAGTCTGACACGTCAACGTCTACAAGATCATATTGCTTGTAGATATACTATAGGTAATTAACTTTAAGAGTATATCAATTCCATTTATATTTAGTAAATATTTATATCAGAAATATTTGAACAACATTGAGTGTATTTTTCACTGGTATAGTACATGTAATTCATAAACGCATGTTTATGATATAGTCGGAATCGTACAATGGGCTCTGCGAGTAGCAGAGACTTCTTATGATTATGGAAATGTCGCTTGTAGTTGTAGTGTACAAAGAGTGTGGGGCATGTTGGGAAATGATGATACAGGCATGTTTGACCCCTTGACAGTAAGGTGATGCATGCAACATTGGAAACAGATAATGAAGAACAGCGAATGGCTTCTTGTGTACAGTAAGTAATTGTATTCGATGTTGTTTCAAGCAAACATCCTCAATACTTGTGTTTTACGACACTCTGAACACTATTATCCCCCGCCATGAAGTGGAATGGGGATATTGGAATGGGTCCCTCCGTCACGGTTCGTTTCCGGAGCAGAACTAAAAAAACGTTAGAGATATCTGAACCAAACTTGGCACATTGATAGGTCTAGTGGTGAACTGATGCCTTTTGATAGTTTTGAATTTTTAAAAATATTTTCGAGTTTCGATAGGAACGACTTTGACCTAGACTGAAACTGGCGGTAGTGGTCGCTTCCGGAGCAGATCTTGAAAACCGTACAGTATTTCTTGACTTGCAGACATGTCATGTTTGTTGGGGATATGAGTATTTCATGCTTATTTCGGTGACAACACGAGGTGGCACTTTAACATACACGGTGAACACGATGGTGGAGCCTACGAGGCGTTTTGACCAAGGCTAATAATCAGTATGAATCTCGGATTTTCACTGACGATCAGCGGATCCTGACACTACTAATGGACGAAACGCGGATCCTCCAGGTGTCTAGCTCAGCAGAATGCACAGAGACACCCTTCTTGTTTATTAAAACAGTGATATAAAGTCATTTCGATTTTTTAAAAATACTTGACAGTTACTTTAATAAAAGCTTAATTTAATGTCTTCTATTGTGGGTAGTAAAGAAGCTTAATTTACCTGAGTGAGTGAGTATGGTTTTACGCCGCATTTAGCAATATTCCAGCAATAACACGGCGGGGGACACCAGAAATGGGCCTCACATATTGTACCTATGTCAGGAATCGAACCCGGGTCTTCGGCGTGACGAACGAACACATTAACCACTAGGCTAAATACTGAAAAAAGTTGGCTGTAAATTTGGTGAAATGTGTGTTGGGGTTGGGATCGTGAAGTATGACATTCATGCCTTATTGGTCAGTAAATAAAACCAACACAGGAAGCTGAATATTTTTATTAACTGACCAATGACGATTTTCTATGGACTTTACACAATCGATAAAGATGCACAATAATTTGTTTGCATTGCTCTAATGAGAGCCATTGTCCATATTCTCCATAATCTATATATTCTTGTGTTTTCTGTTCCAAGCTACATGATGTCCAGTGAGAGCCGAGAATCTGGATATGTGGACAACTGGCAGTCAGGGAAGACTGTCGCAGAGTGTAATCTGCGCATGCTCAACACGGAAGACTTAAGTGACGTCACCTTCCGTGTAGGATCAGAGAAACAGGTGGTCCGAGCTCACCGCTACGTTCTTGTCAGTCGCAGCTGTGTCTTCCATGCCATGTTCTGTGGCCCCCTGGCAGAGACAGGGGAGGTAACCATCCCTGACATTGAGGCAGACATCTTCAAAGAGTTCTTGAGGTTAGATTCATCCACCAGTTACGTTTATTAGTCTATTCACCAATGAAAATAACACATTATGTACTCTGGTTCTGATGACATATTATTTTCGGAGATGCTAGGAGAACAAAAAGCCATTGTTTGAACTATATGGATTCGTACTTTAAGAGTTTCAAGACATCAAGTGTGCCCTACGCGGTAGCAGAGTCGATATTTAGCATAGAGGCATATCCCTACCTGGACACACAAAACAGATGTGATTATACTATTTTCACTTTAATAAAGATAAACATTAATAACATAATACAAACAAACAACATTTATTTCTTCCCATTCTTATTTCTTAGATATTATTGTAGGTATGTGTACACAGACAAGGCCTCTATCAACGCTGCAACAGCCACGGGTCTAATGGACACCTCCAGGAAATATGCCATAGATGCATTGTACAATCTCTGTGTAACGTTCCTGGAAAAGTCCCTGTCAGAAGACAATGTCTGTCAGATCCTTGAGCAGTGTCATGGCTATGGGGAGCTGGACTTGGAACAAAAGGCCTTGGAGATCCTGACTCGAGGAGGCAAGAGAGTCATCCAATCTCACGGGTTTTTGAAGCTTTGTGCTGAGTGTGTGGCTAAGTTTGTGAGGTCAGATAATTTGGATTTTAAAGAGGAAGACATCTTTGAAGCAGTTCTGTCCTGGACAAAAGGAAGATGCAAACAGGAAGGTGTCAATGACACGCCTGAGAACAGACGGAGTTTCCTTGGAGATATAAAGTATGAGATCCGGTTTACCAGCATGCCCTTAGAGTATCTGGTGAAGGATGTAGGCCGATCTGGTGTGCTGACAGACAGTGAGAGAATACGAATAATGGACAGAACAGTAGACACAACTGTTGACATCTCCATTTAAACATTCACAGAGAAAAACCGTAAGTACTATAGGAAGGAAACTGAACGCATCCTGTAAAAGTGTGTATAGGTTTGTGTCTTATCGCAATTTATTGATACCAGCTGGGTCCAATGCTATCTCTTTCTCGCTTAGCAAGAGCATATCCCTGCAAGGGTGTCAGTTGTATGGTGGATATGATGATGCAGAGTATAAACTGAATATCACTTTTTATGACCTTGATAAAGTGGTGTTTTCTGAACGGTTGAACAAGATGATGCTTCAGGGCAGTAGACAGGTGAATGACGTCCTGTTTTCAAGGCCTTTTCCCCTAACAGCAGGTGCGACCTATACTCTGTGTGTGGACATGGAGGGACCTGACACTGTCTGTGGAGAGGAAGGAAAGGATACAGTAACAGTGGATGGAGTAAAGTTCACATTTAAAGACTGTCTAATGCAACGCACAATCACATCAACACGTCGAGGACAGATACCTGGTTTGATGTTCAATCACTCGTCATAGAGAGTACTCGTATATCAGGTGTTGCTTGCTGACCACTTTGACACTGTGGCATAATTTGATATTGTGAAAACCATATTATCTTGCATATGATCATATTTAAAGGTATAATCTCATTAAATGCGGAAGTGATTGCATGATGCAATTGCAGTTTTCCAAGGTGTTCCAAGGTGTTTCAAGGTACGATATTAACTGTTCAATGTAACTACTGCGTGTTTCGTGTGCATTGGATATCATGGACCTGGCTGCAGACGTTGGTGTCAGCATTGCAGAACCTTAACAGTATACAATCGAGCATGCTCTTTCTACGACTATTTTAAAGAACGTCATATGACTCTTGCTCAGCAGCAGCATTCAAGGCCTTAGTAAAACTTTTATGGTAGAAAAATCATGTGGAGGAAATTTCTAAATTCGACGCATCAGTGACCAACATGATTTCCGGTAGGCTATTTTGCACTATATGTTCCCTTGTTTGTTCAGGTGAACGCTTGACATGCCCCCATCATGGTTATACCGTCACCACTCCTATTAGCAAGTGGTATGTGCTTCTGAGAGGAGGTTTGTGACGTCATTTCAGCCATTTTGACAAATAAAATATTGAGAGAAGTATCAATGATACATCAATATGCAGGTCCCTATTTCTTGACGACTCAACATGTGATGTGTTCCACAAGTGGGTCAGGATACGCTCTCTATTTCACGAACACCTGGTATCAGCACTATTTAATTTTCTCACACGATCAGCGGATCCTGATTCTACAAATATCGATGACATAATGACCTACAACTGATACGCAACTGCTCTGACGTGTGTGCGTAGCTCCTCACATGTCATCTGATAGATAACAGTTTTCGACTGTCACGACGTTGTGACTTTTGTGGTTTAGTGGGTACTGATAGCCAACAAATACAAAACAAAGAAGCTATTGTGTGGTAGGCCACTAATACAAAGCCGGGCAGTCACGATTGGCCACCATACACCATCGGCAGTTAATTGGTTATGAATAACGAAGATTTCAAGCTGAGCTTTGACACACTGATGAAAGTGAGAGCACTGAACATTGGGATTCAAACCTTCTGAAACCGTCTAAAACTTTTCTGTGAAATTCTCAGTCTTCAAGAAACAAGGCCCTGGATATCGCAGACTGTATCACTCATAATGCTCTCGATATTTTGTTCATGAAAGATGAAAGCCTAAATAGCAGCAAATAAAGTTACACTCCCTAAAGCACATACCACGGACTTATAGAAATGGTGGTGGCATAACAATGATTTACAGGATCTAATCTCTGTTACACAAGAGTTTTGTTAAATGATGAATTTAATCATCTCTGTCTCTTGCCCTTAAGGTCTGTACAGACGTCTGGCATCAAAAAGGAAGACTTTTTTACCCAGTTTTACAATGAACGGTTGTATACAGTTATCCCCGACAAACTCTCCCAGGGGAAAAAATAGAACCGTTGGTGATTTCAATGAACATTATGATACGATTGGAAAGAGGTGAAGAAATTGATAAAACCCATTGACCCGGTGGGGTTAATCCAACATGTGAATGAATCCACACAAAAGTCTGGACAATTTTAAAATGTGCATTGACGAGATATGACAGTAATTTTGGAGAAGACAATGATCACCATATCTTGAAAATGGCATTCTCGATGTCAAAACAAACAAATCATTTATGCCAAGACATCAAAAACAGTGATACTGTGTAATTCACCAAGAAATGTGGATGCTCTATGTCGTTGTATGAAAATACCTTGATACAACTCTTAGATAAACATGCACCGACTGTAACAAAAAAAGCCTTAGAGGCCAAATGTTCTCCAATACCCAACCGTTACACAGAATCACAAGTCGTATGCTCGTGTGTGCATGGAGCCAAGTGTGAAAGGTATATTTAGGTTTGAACGCGAGAATGAAAGATCAGAGCAAGCGGATACACTGTCGTGGTCTAAGCCTGTGTTGTGCGATTGTGAGGCAGAAAGTCCTTGTCAATGCCAGGGTATATAAAGAGTTCGCCCCTCAAATCAGTGTGGGTCGTGCACTCGATGGTGAGAACGCCTGACCACCATTACATGTTGGGCCAAGATCGGGCGTAAGTAGTTCATATTTAATCATATTCATGTATAATAGGATTGTTTAGTTTATTAATATGTTCCATGGACAGTAACTTTGTTATAAACTTAGTATAGTGTATACTGTAAATGTAAATATAGAGTAAAATGGTAACGAAGTGTTTTTTGTATTTTTGTGGTAGTAATGGAGTATATATACCCACATATATATATACCGAATATCTACACATGTTCTGAATATTGTGAGTAGTAGTGTTGGACCCTGCGACTCGGGTACCGTCCTTTCAGTGTAAATGTCATGCAGGCGTGACCTTTAGTCCTACCCTGGGAACAAGATGATACACACCAAGACATGTTGCGGGAGACCGTCTGATGGAAGACAGACATGGGCTACCAAGACGTTGTTGCGTCCAGTATAGACGTGACTTCTAGGTGTTGTATCAGAGTGCAGTGAGTAAATGCAGTATTCACTGATGCTTTATCTCCACATCGCTTAATATGAACTATTGTCATCAGAGACAATACATTGACTAAGGTCACTCTAACGTGCTCATTGTTTGTCGTGGAAGACAATTTACAGATGACTATCTATTGTCATCAACATTCATACTGTGTCATGATAGACCAGAATTATATTTTGTCGTTCCCTCATACATGTTTGTGTAGACATTTGTGTTTTGTTTTTGATGATGATATTTTCATGTGACATGTGACATCAGGTTAATATTAGTATTAGCCTGTATAACATTAGTTTAGTATTATAGTGTTAGTGTTAGTAGTAATATTGTCAGATAATTGGTAAGAAGTTCGTAGGAATTATGTAAATAGTTTTTGTTTTCTCTTATATGATAATAAATTATATCATTGTATTTGCTTTGAGGGTTCTGTCACTTCTAATTCTTCAAGAGCATATTCTGTGACAAACATATTTAACATTGGAACACGCTGTGCGACTCGCACATGAACTTCACATTGCGTTGTGAGCTAATCAAATAACTGATTATAAGTGATGTGTCATGCGACCTTGTCCTATAAATAACACGGCATTTTGATTGTCTGTAAGCCATTGCACCCGTTGGTGATCCTGGATTGCAGCAAGACAATGTATTACCATATGTACCACATTCAGCTCTCTCCGAGTCTAACTCGAGCAATCTACTCCTTTATTACTGTCCATGAGAAGCGACACAGTCCACGTCTACACAATAACCTGCATAGCCACTGTCACTGGCATTGGAATTAACTACTTTCTTGATACATGCTGTCTGAACAAATGATGTATAAGTATACTGCTTTGCATTGTCTGACCAGAACTCATATCTGACAACAGGATCTTCCTGTACTATGTAACTGACATACCGATGTCCATACTTAAGGATCTTATCATTAGTAAAGTGGACACGGGGGTGGCCCAGTCGTCTGAGACGCCGCGATTCGCTGTGCAGAGTTGCGTCCTTTGGGCACGCCAGAAACCTATGATTGTGGGTTCGAATCCCGGTTCGCCTCGATTATGTTTCTAGGTTTGTTAGCACCATACC